ATTATATTATATATATACTATATATACTATGTGACTATATATACTGGCTTCTTCCGAGGCTGGGCGGCCTCCTTGCCAAAGAGCAGCTCCCGAGAGTTGAAAAGCTTGGCTTGGGTCGCGGCCTTAAGACAGATTGCTTGGGTTCGGGGTTTTTGGAGTCTTTGCTTCGACTCCCGGACCTGCCGGATGAGGGTTTCGGATTTGAAGGTTTGGGGTCTTGGAGGAATCCAGACAGCAACGGTCACTCAAGCATCGGCAGACTTCAATCGCTCGTTCACGCTCTCGACATTCTCGTAGATCTCGTCCAGCTTTTCGAAATCCTGGGCTTGGGCGCACAAAGCAAGTTCTACGTCCGACGACACTGCTGAACCTCCAAGCTGTGCAGTCAAGTCTCATTGTACTGCGCAAAGTTTTCGATGGTGTTGGCCTGAAGCTCCGTCCCTCCCTACTGTCTAATTTCTCTCGCTCCCTTCGAGCAGCCACGCCACCCTCGACGTTCTATTCCTTCTGAGGGCGTGGCCATGTCCACAATCATGTCATCAAAGTCGGACTGCTCTTGCTGCTGGGCTGCTGCAAAGGACGCCTCCGATAAAGTCGGCCGAGGGAAATGACAGGGTCCTTCTCCCCCAATCAAGCTCCTATCCTTTCAAACCTCCATAGGTGGGGTACATACCTCGTTTCCGGCTACTTGTAAGAAGGATCGTGCTATTGGGGACGTGTTTCACTGGGAAGGACGCGCCTCTAACTCTTTGATGTCATCCTCGACTTTCGCCACGAGGTCGTAGGTGGATTTCGGACAGCCAAAGACTCGCCAACCTGAGGCACGGATCTTTCCAGGGGTGTTGGTAAGCGAAGCAAACCTGCCTTCGAAAGCTCAGCTGTAGAAACTCTCGCTGGGGCTTCTTTCTCAACTCTACTGGCTCTCACACTCTGTCAGACTGTCTTTCTGGTCTGAAGGCACACTGGAAGCTCCCTAGATAAATCGACTGGGAAACCAAATATAAAGTTTAAAGGGGTTAGGATCCACCGTGGCAAGACTAACTGCTGTAAGACGCTTGAAAATCAACGCCGTCGCAGGGATTTCCTGCTTGATGCCTCAGTCCCATCATGCGCACTCTGGGGTTCATACGTTGGTAGAAGTCGTCAGCGGTCAGCTGCACACCAAACTCTTCCAGAACGCTGTATGTATCCAGGCACCTCCGAAGTACGCAGTCACTTTCGGTGCCTCGGCCTAGCAGCGAGTCACGCAGGCACAAGCCAGCCTCTTTGTGTCGGGCGCCATCCTTTTCAGGAAACGCCAAGGACAACAATGCCCTCACATTCTCTGGATCGGTCCGTTCAGATACCGTGCTCCAATTCAATGCCCAGTGACTTCAGGATTTCGGCAGGGATGGTTGCGATATACCTGTCATGTCGGAAGGCTTGTGACGTCCTGAATCTGCTTCGGGTCAGCCGAGGTCAATGCTCCCGCATTGCAGTGACTTCTTCGATGTCCTGAAGATGAAAAGGTGGTGCTGACTCGAGCAAGAGCCCAGCTGCATGACTCACAAGTTGGTGCAAACAATGTCGCTGCCGATCCTTCGGCGACTTGCGTAGCTGTGAGAAGACCCCGGCATAAGCATCAGTGATTTCCTGCCGGCACTGCAAAAGCAAACAAAAAGCAACCTGGAGCTTTCGATCTCAAGACCTAGAAGACTTAGACGAGAGGACCAGCAATCCTGGGTGCCATCCCGGAACTTCGTCCTCGGATTTGCCACGCAATCTCAAGTCATGGCCAGAGACCCAGGTGCTGCTGCGCATGCAACAGAACAGGATGCCCAGGTCAATCACACACCTCTGGCAGTTCACGTAACCAGCTGAGATTCATCATCATGTCGAGGAGGAGCTCTTGAATCTTCCTTGAATCAAGAACAGATTGGGAGGGTCGTTTCATATATATATATATACATATGTGTGTATGTGTGGGTAGATGTAGATATGCATAAAATATGAGTCCGGTATGTTCCCAAACTCCCAGCGGCCACCCGCGGGCAAACGCAGCGCCGGGTTCCGCACCTATGCTTTCCGGCCAAGGTCTTCCGTATCTCTTGGCAGGACACCTGTAATCATAACAATAATGATTCAGAGGTTCGGGTATTTGGGCCAAGCGCCGACCTCGAAGAGACCGACCACGATGGACTCGGGGATAGACTCCAGAATCTGCCGGCAGATTTGTCGGATGCTGGGAGATTCACAACTGAATATTAGGTCCGAGGGCGCCTCGTGCTCCTTCTGCACTTGCTCCAAGATGCAGTTCTTCGCTTCTGCTGTTGTAATGTCTGCGTCCGCCTGCGCAAGGTGGAGAACTTGGCCCTCCAATACCCACCCTGCATATTTGCGCTCCACCTTGGCTTGAACAAAGTCTGCTGGCTCCAGCTGCAGCAGGTCTTCGTACCTTGCACCAGGTGGAATGGTCGAGACACGCTCTTGCGCGTCTGTCGGACGCCAACTCTGCTTGTAACTGTGAACTCGCATGAGGCCTTAAAGGGATTTCAGCTGTTGTCCTTCCGCCGTTCTTCGGGCGATCTGACATCCGTCTGCGTCGCCTGTGTGAGCCTCCCTTTGTCTCCGCTGCCACGGAGGTTGGTTTCACACAATAATAATAACAGTAGTAGTAATAGTAGTAGTAGTAGTAGTAGTAATGGTGATAATAATGATAACAGTAATTAGCCTGGGATGCAAAGCTAGGCTCGGATTGCCGACTCGAAGAAGCCTCCCACGCATGCAAGGTCAAGATTCTGCAGTCGGCGGTGGAGAGAGACGGCCGGGCCAGGGCTTTCGGCATGCTCTTCAGAACAGGAGCACAGCCAAGATGCAGAACCACGAAGAACAGAGCATTTCGAGCTTGTATTTCCGGCTACTGAGAGTCAAGCACCAATGGGTGGATGCGCGGGGGGCAGAGAGCGCTAGAGCGGTTGAGAGGCAGAGTCGCAAGAGACAGCAGCAAGCTTCGTGCCTACATTCAGGCTTGAGACACTTACAGCTCTGCCAACTTTGAACACAGTTTCGCTCTGGCCAGCATTCAAGACCGTGTCTTGCAGCTTCCGTTTTCCACTGAACTGTCACACCCCACCACCCCACCATGAACACCATCATGTCAAGCAGACAACAAGCCAAAACCTGCCGGACGGGCGGGGCAAACAATGCCAGGTAGTCCTGAAGAGCGGGGAGCGCCTGACCAGCGAGAAAGCTGGCTGTCAGCTCGCATAACACTATGGGGTTGGGGGTGTTTTGCTTTGCTGTTTTTGTTTGCGTACTCTCTGGCTAAGTCTAATTCAGGGTCCAGTCCTTGCTTGGGGCTTGGGGGCTGGAGTTTAGGGAGCTGTTGCGGTGGCAGAGCCCTCATCGTCTTTATCTCTCCATTCTCCGTGTTTGCTATTTTTTCTCCCAGGCGTAGGCGATCCAGCAGCGACGGTTTCCGCTTGGCTGAGCCAGGGAGCCATGGCAGCGGTGGCCGCACCAGCATCCAGCACATCCTGAAGGTAGGCACATGCAGCCGTCGCTTAGGGTCACGCTTGTAACAACTGAGGCCTGGTCTTTGCAGAGATCTTCCACAGAGTTCCACTGGCAAAACACCTCGTAGTAGTTGGCCTCAAACAGACATGCGCCAGGTTCACTTGCATCATGCGGATCATGCGTGCTGAGAAGATGAGGCGAAGCACATGAAGAACCTCTGCGACGTTGGGGCCGGACAAAGACTTCACCTTGGCGGCATACAGTCAACTGAGCAACAGCAACCCAGTCCATTGCAGAAGGTACTACCCCAAGAACCTCCGTCAGAGCACGCATGGCTCTGCCAATAGGGACCAGAAATCAGAGGAACCGGAAGAAGAAGCAGAATCAGGAAATCAACAGCAACAACTGCCAGAACAACCACTACCGCCACCACCGAAACCAAAACCAGAATCACAACCGAAATGTTTGGGGTAGCGAGCAAGCATGAGAAGGTGGTACTTCAAAAAGTCACGACTCCCCCCCTCAAATAGAAGGCAAGACATGTTGATTTCGGACGGAGACGAGGCACTCCGTTGAAGGAAAGGACGAACTTGCCTCGCAAGCGGCCCATGACACACTCCGGCTGATACTCATCCGACCCGCCTGGGGCCCAGGTTTCATCAACCAGCCGAGAAGAAATCGGATGATACGAGTTCCTTAGCAATTTCATTCACACGTTTCACCCCAGCCCTCGGCCTGCAGCCGCCCAATGCTGCAAAGCTGCATGTCGGACTGCGGCAGTATGCGAACCTCTTGTGGATATGGAGACGGAAGGTCGCCTTATTCAGGAAGGAATGCGAGAGTCGACCGAAGCGGTATGATCGGAACCGTTTCAAGTAAGAGTGGCACGTGCCAGCATGCTGGCTTCGTAGCGCATCTGTGCGAAGCGACGATGATTGACACCGAACAGCTCTTGCGCAAAGGCTTGCTGCTCCCACCAGGTGTGATTCTCAAAAGGCGAGAAGCCAGCATCATCGCCCCATACCTAAGCATGCTGAACATCTTCCGCACCGAGAGCAAGACCAGATTTGCAAGCACTGAAAAAAAGAAAAATGACGTGCTGTCCAGAATCTCGTGCAAGCAACCTGCGGCTCCAAGCCGACCGTCGCATCAAGAGAATGGCAGTGTTGAGAGACTGCGCGTCCTCGGTGACCAACATGTGCACTGACTCGTCGATCGACGCTGCTTCGCCAGCAGCCCTCGCATGTGTCAGAAGGAGTGAATCCAGTGTCCGGTTCATGTCCATGAAGTACAGGTCGCAGTCAATCCAGGCGACCCAATCCCAGCGATCGTCTTCCATCGCCTCACGCAGCGCATCTACTTTGCCCCAGGCTGCAGGGCGTCCTTGCAGGAGCACACGGAACATTTAGCCAAAGCCGAGGTGCCCACTCACCCACAACATGGTATACATGTAGCATGCCGGCTGGCCAGTATGGCACTTTTCTCTGTCCTTTGGCATGGTGCGAATGACGATGATGGATATAACCGTATCCGTGCCGATGGGCATACATCCCATGGACTGATGCTGCCAACCGCGGTAGCCGGGCACCACTTGGATAATCGCAAATTGTTACGAGGCAAACTGTCAATCCGTGAACGCGAGTGCCAGGATCCGCATCTATTCGGTTGTTAGGCAGTTGGGCGCGCAGGTTGCCCAGCAAGTTGGCAACCGATCGATGCTCGTCCCCGAATTCGTGGGAGGTGATGGGCCATGCAGAATCATCGATGAAGGAATCGTGATGGAGAGCGGCTACATTGTATGCATAGATGAGCCATCCAGATGCCAGATGTTGCATTCGCAGCGCTACTTCCAGGGCCGCGACCTGCACTTCCGTCTCTGCATCTCGCACGACTGGGTCGCCGTAGTGCGACATCGCGAGAAGACGAAAGGCGGCCCCCATCCCCACGGCGCAGTCTTCCAGCGCACGCTGGACAGCGACCGCTGCGCCGTAGGCATCGGCGTTCTCTCCGAGCACATGGGTCACGGACAGGCTGAGGACCTTCCGTGCTTCCGGAGCTTCTCCGGCTGAAAGCAGGGTCTTTGCATGCTTCAGGTCTGAGAGGAGAGGCTCCCAGGACGACGGGCAGCGCAGCGTCGTTCGAAGAAACTCAGCTCGAGACTCTGGGCGCAGGCTCAAATCGGCCACGAGGCGGCGCCAACTCTCTGCGAAAAGCAGCACGGCATAGACACCGAACATCCCACAACCGCTACCGCTACCGCTACCTTTCACCCCAACGGCAAGCAAGCATTCCAGCTACCGAACTTTCCTGCATCCCGCAGCCCACGCGCCACCATGCAGGAAACGAATGTGGCATCCGATGATATCCTATGATCACAGTCTGTCACGTCGCTGCGCTTCGCAATTGGAAGTTGGCACCCTTGGCGCCAAGGGCCTTTGACTGTTGGGAAAGCTGGGCACACGTGGGGTGCTGTACACAGCAAGCGTGCCTAAAGGACGAAAGTTTACGTAAGCTGAAGGCAACAGAGCTTGGGCTAGGATCTGCTAGGCTGAATGTGGCTGACGATCTGATCCTGCAGCTCTCGAGAGACAAGAAGTTCACTGAACGGCAGCTAGATCAGGGGGCGCATTGTGCCGTAGCTCAATGCCTGGCGCAGGTTCTCCATCATGGTGGTTCTCCTTGCCTGGGAGATGCAATGCTAAACGTAAGGACGAGAGCCGAGCTTGGGATCAAGAGGCCCCAGTCCTTCACGAAGGGGGTGTCAGCCTTCTTGTCATCGCTTCGTGGAGTGTGCACGTCCACAGTGTTGAGGACTCGGCGAGCAGCAAGCTGCATTCTTATTGTGAGTGCTATGCACGTCGCGGGAGCAGCCTTGCTTCACGACCACCGTCTTGAAGAGCTGCGGAACAATCTGGGGCTCTACCTGTGCGATACCAGCCAGCCGCAGGCTTCAACCACATCTGTGCCCAATCCAGGAGACATGTTGAAGCGCCTGCGGAATGTCCCCCAGAGACATCACTCCTGGGTAAAGACGTGACCATCACGGGATCGGGACGCTCTCAAACTTGCGGCCGGTGGGCCAAGATCCAGTACCTCGCCGCAGACATCCACCGCAGCCTCGCCTTCGCATGCAAAGGATGCATCTTGGCAGTTCGTGGATGTTCCTGACACGCACGGAAGCGCATTCAATCTGGGAGCGGAGCTGCTTGTGGAGTAGGCGAAAGCTTTGTCCTGCAGCATGAAAAACGGGTCATACAGAATCGGGGAGGCGCGATGCTCGGCAAATTTCGGGAACCTTGAGAGAGCCGTCATGGGGCCTTTTTGATCTACACCTCTCTGCCTGAAACCTCATTACTCCACCCAAAACATCCCAAAACCCTGAACCCTAAATCCCAGCACCAAAACAGCAGGCTTGCGTAGTCTCGCCTGGACACCAAATCCTAACACCTATAAACCCCAAACTCCAAACCCTTCCAATCCGGGCTTTCGGGGGGAGAGGGTCCTCGGTGACCTTGATCTCCAGGAGGAAGAGTGCAGAGCCGGGCTTCAGATCGGCACTCTCTTCGTCGTGACTCGGAATCAGCGTTCAGGGTTTTTTCTTTTTGCGGGCTTTTCGGGGTGTTTGGACTCGCGACTCAGAGTGTAGGGCTTGGGGTTGAGTGTTTCTGAGGCCTTAGGGCTGGGGGCAGGCGGGTTCGAGCTCCTGGAAGCGTGCAACTGCCCTGCTAGATGCCATCTGTACCATCCTAGGGCTGCAGCTCTGCTCCGTAGAAAGCCATACCCGGACGACCTGCGCAGGAGCTTTATGGGCCTGGCGGAAGGTCTGTTTTCCTGCATCTAAGCACCTGGAGGAATCAATTGTCGACTTCCACCACGCTTCGCAGGAAGTGGTCGAGGACGTTCGACAAACTCGCACTCCACCTGGCAGTATGAAACCCACGCACGTTGCTCGGTTCTTCGAGCATCTGTCAAGCAGCCTTCATCAGGTCGCTCACTATCACTTTTGCAGGGCACAGCTCCTGGCTGATGGTCCCCACTTTCAAGAACAGATGGTGACATGTGGAATCAGCGATTCCTCCAAGCCATGGCAGTAGTCATCCACGGAGTCCAAGGTCTCGTGGAGTTTGCAACTCTGCGACTAAGGCACGGCAGCTGTGAACTCTCTTAGCACAGCACGAAGAACTCCAAGGAATCCTGCATCATGTTCTTGACGACGGCCTTAGCGCATCGGGCTAGGGGCGCATATCTTTCCATCCGTACATGGCTGCCGGACCAAGAGCTTCTTGAGCTTGCCCTGTCAGTTCACTGTCGCTGACAGAAGGGTATCTAGTGAATCTTATGACTCGACCCGAGACCGAGAGAAATGCTACGGGTAGCACTCCTATACGATGTGCTCGTGACACCGCTCATGTGGCCTGTCGGTATGTGTCTTGGTTTGTCTCGTGGATAGAGAACCAACCTGGCTGACAGGACATGAAACGGAACGGCAATCCAGCACTGCCGCGCAGGTGCCTTTCCCCACATCACGGAAGTTCTTGAGAATGATTTTCTGAATGTTGACCACCTAATGCATCAAACAACCGACAGGTGCCAGTGCTAGAGCCCTTCTGAACTGCAGGCTTCAACAAGCCGCACCAAGCCTTGCAAAGCCACAACCCACCGAGTTCCAGACCCACTGGTCCCTAATCTTGTGCGCCATAGATGTGATGGCCTAGAAGGAGGAGGGGCCAAACATCAGCAAAGATCCCGGTATCCGAGGATCCGAGGCGCCCACTGATTTCTGCACATGTCGGAACTGCTCCGGCTTCATCAGCCTTGCCAGTTTCCAGCAACCGCTGCCGGCTCTCGGCAACCACGATTTTTTGCGCAGCTGAAGCTCCCGACCGTGTAAACTTGTTCGCATATATGCAAGATGCCATGAGGTTCAAGTTCTCCTCGGCCATCACCCGCCGCAAGCTACTGGTACAATCTGATACAACAAATTGCCACAATAGAGCAGCCCGACCGCGGGACGTAGCAAAACAAGGCACCGGTCCTGGCACACCTCACCCAAGCTGCTCACAACTTCTGGCCTGCCGTCGAAAGCAGGCCTGTTTGCAATCCGAAGCCCAGTGAGACAGCGGGCCTTATGTAGAGCGACGCAAAACAGAAGGATGAGAATGCCGTCGTGAAATCATACTCCGGCACCTGAGCAGCCGTGCCGGTGTCAACGAAAACACTCAAAACCCCCGCATCCTTATCTTCTAGCCGACACCGCCTGGCCATGCACCAGTCTTGAGTGACATAACGGATACGCACGCAAAGGCGGACACCGGCCAAAGCGAGAACCACGGAACATCCCGATCGAATGGGTTCTCGCCTTGCAGCCGTAACGGTAGGAACTCAAGGTACACGAAACCACCCGCATCCAAGGAAAGCTTCTGCCGGAAGTGTGCCTGGATCTTCGAGATCATCCACGTCTATGTCATCCAGCCTCGCATCTGCCATACTAAGCGACCCCTGCATGTGACGACATCACGCGCGGCCGCTGAGACGCAGACAACCCTGCCACATCGGTTGCCTGCGCCCCGCTCGGCATGCTGGGCATGGCCTGTCAAGGAGGCACACCATGACTTGACGGTTTTACCGTGTCACGTCTTCTTGCCACTGCGGCGATCGTCTTTTGTGAAAATTCTGTGTACGTCGCGCGTACTCGAAACAGCTTAGCATGGAACTCGTGCCCCACGGCACTACGGGCGAATTATAGTTGTTGCAGCAGAGCATTGACAGATTTTCGGTGCATGCCGGCACTGGTCGCCAGCTCATCCAGGGTCTGAATTGTCCTCCAGGAGAACAGGGGCTAGCAGATTCGAGAAGAGCTTGAAAAGGGAGTGGAACTATTCTCAACTAAGGTTGAGCCTAGGACTTTGGGTCAAGCTAAGAGCCAGGGTCCTCAGCTGCCGTGCGTGCAGGAGTCGCCTGACCGCTTCCCTTTCGTCGACATAATCCAGGCTGGCCTGCTGGAAAATTCTCCCCAGTTCCTCAGCGGAGCAAGTGTTCATCGTTGCCAGGAGCTGCAGTTCCTCAGCAGAGTCCGCAGGGCCCAGGATGTGTCGTGATGGCGACCTCATCCGCCCACGCGCTCTGGAAGGCGTTGGGATTTGTAGCTCTTGCCTGCGAAGAGGCACTGGATCTGTTGCTGTGTCCTTCGCACTTCCGGATTCGTGGTCTTCACAGGACAGGTATAGCCATCTAGCTGTGCACAGCACTGCTAGGAGGACAGCCAGGACGTCGTGACGCATCTCTTGTGCAAGACAGTAAGAACAGCGGAGGCCAAAGATCTGGTCAGTAATATCCCGGTAGGATTGAAATAGCCTCCAGCAGAAACATCACATCGTGCGACGCATGATTGAAACCGTGCGGCCTAGAAGACAAGTGCAGACCAGCGACGCGTCCAGCATGCTTCGTCCAGGATCACCATAATACAGACATGCCGCGGTGCGTCCAAAGATGAAGACAGAAACGGCAGCAACAAAGCGCCGGACCTTGGTGCATCTGAGCTGGCTTCGCAGAGCCTGACCCAACAGACGAAACAAGATGCGCCATTCTGCCATTTCTGCATCGAGATGCAGAGAGGCAGACGACCGTCCACGCCCATGCCATTTCCCTCCATGGCCCAACCGGCAGCTGTTGATGTGAAGAACCCAGCCATATATCCATGCTCAACTCCCCTGCCCTGCTTCAGAACCCGTCAAGCCGTCAAGTAACCCTGCACACTGCGCATGCATTTCTCGACTCCCATCTGTGTTTCAAATCTTCCTGAGCACCCGCGGGCAGCAAGGAACCATCGCGACACCCGCAGCTGCTCGTGTGCAAAGCCCCCTGACCTGTTTTCACATACTATGTGACTGCGCGCAACGTGGAAAATCACGCAAGCCTAGCGGTCCTAGCCGCGTGGCTCACAGCGAGCTCTCACCACGTCGCCGCCTGGGGTCCTCCAGCTGCCCCACACCTCCGTGCACTTACGAAACTGGGAGAAGCTGCAGCCGAGAAGCGCATACTCGTTTCTGGTACGAGGTTGGCACCTCGAGGCTCACAATGGAAGCAGAGCCAATACCAACAACAGCCATATGAACACCAACGTTCATACTACAAAAAGAAACAACAATGCGCAACAACTGAGAATACAAGTCAACATGCCACTAACAAAACATCAAAATGATCCAACCTGCAAGAGATGTCTTCAAGTCCCCTCGCACCTGTTCCAAAATGCGATCTGCCTCGGAGGGGTCGATCTCCACAACCCAAATGCCAGGCTCGTGCTCATCCTGAAACGGCTGCTTCATTTTCGGCGACTGGTAGCTTAGATGGGTTTAAGGTTTTACGACCCTAAACCAATTCCTAAACCCTAAGCCCAAATCTCTAATCCCCGGAATTGGGAAATCTCCAAAATGGCCTCGACCACCACGACTGCCCCATGGACTGACGACCCCAGGCTTGGCATGGATTTCAGTCACGTCTCAATGATTGTTGTTATCATTATGTGCACTCGTCTTGTAAATATCTTTGTGCTTATTCTTGCTATGATTGTTATTATTGTCATTATTAACGGTAGTATTGTCACATTTCTTCTGTTGTTGAATTCTGATGTTACTATTTCAATATTTCTAAGATTGCTCCTGTTACTGTGCTCCTGTTATAGTGATCATTAAGATGGTTCTTCGCTTTTTCTGAGAATTTGCTTTCTTATAAGACAGGGTTTAGGCCTACTAGGGTCCGGGGCTGACGGGCCTTAGAGCCTCGAGGGTTTGGACTCTCGCGAATCGAGCAACAGCTTCTAGCCGATTCTAGCCTTAAGCCCTAAACCCGATAAACCCTAGACCCTAAACCCTAAACCCTTTTTTGAACCCAGACTCTGCCAAAACCCCAAACCCTAGATCTCTAAGTAGTCCCTGAGGCTGCCTGATAGTCGTTCTTGTCGCTGCTTCTCGCTGGCGAGGCGTAGGCCACCTTGTCTTGCAAACTTCGAATCTGCTGGACCTCTTCCGGATACTACAAACCTCCGGATTCAGCACCAAGCAGGTGTTGCAGATCTTATCCTCCTGACGGGACATCCCTCAGGCATCCTTTTTTTGCATCCCTTCTGAACGGGAACTGCAAGCGAGCCACGTGCAGCTCTGGGAGTGAGCCGCCCACGATCCAGATCTTCAGTTCTCGAGCCTTGCGGAATACATGTTGTTTGACACCTTTTTCCGACAGCCGAATACGTTTCGGGTGCAGGGTTCAGGGAATTGCTCATGAAACATATGCATCATATGCTAATCAGAATGACAAGAAGCTGTGCTATGGAAAACAACAAACTATGCTACTTGATAGCCTGTGTTGTCGTATTATGGTTTGCTATGTTGCGCTAACGCTCAATCTACCGGTCGTGTATACACACAGATAGGCAAAGGCTGGACAGAGGGCATTCTAGCAGAAGGGGCAACAGCGGGGCTTCACACTGGGGCTCGAATCAGCCGCCATCCGTGCGGTTCAACCGTTTTGGCATCTGATGTTTGGTCTGTCTGTTGCTTGATGCGTCAGACTGATGCCGAGGCAAGCTATACACAGGGCAAAATTAACACTGAAGGTGGACTGAGCTCCGCTCAAGCCCATTCATCAGGATGCTACAGCATGCGACAAAAGAGCTTCGTTTGAAGCTTGTAGCAGCTGTGCTGACATAGGCAGCTACAAAATGTAAGTCAGTGTGGTGTTGCTTGCTTTCAATGCGTGTCTTGGAACACGGCAACCACTCGCTGCATAGACTGACCGTAGAGTTGCCTCTGTTTCGACCAGACTGTGCCTCATTTGCTGTCTGCAGACGAGCCTGCGAAATGAAGGTACGGATGTTTTGCCTCTCAGCGCGAGGGCCTCACCAGTCAAGGGCGACATGCTTGCCGTTGGCATCGAAAGGCTTGGACTTGCCCATGACCTTGGCAGCCTTCACCCCGGCTTCCTCGACCGCCTTCCGAGATGCAATCTGGAGCGCTTTGGCATACTCCTCCGGTGCTGGCAG